ACGACGACGACAGACGACTACTGCTACTACGGATGCTGCTGCTGCGACATTTTTTTTGTGTGTGTGTCTACATCTGAGCAGGTGCCTAAGGCCGAACAGTCCCCCGCCCCTCAGAAACTCTATCAAAAACCCAAGGACCATCATCCGAAAACTCAGATCGTCCCGGGCGGCGTGAAAACAGCGAAAGTCGTCTCCGCTGCAACGTCTGCGGGTGCACGAGGCGCGCCCAGAACCGCTGGAAGGCGAAACTCCGAGAAAGAGCCCTGGGAGGAGACTTGGCACAGGCGATGAGGCCCGTGTTATGTATGATCTTGCTTATGCTTCTAAGTATGTGTGCAAACGTATACATATAACAAATGTATAATTTATTTTTACGGATATGTATTAATTCATGTGCTTATGCAGATGCTTGTTGATTTTCGTGTGTATCTACATTCATTCATTCATTCATTCGTTTCATTTCATTTCATTTCATTTCATTTCATTTCATTTCATTTCATTTCATTTCATTTCATTTCATTTAATTTCATTTCACGTCATTTCATGTCATTTCATGTCATTTCATGTCATTTCATCCCATTTCATCCCATTTCATCTCATTCATTCATTCATTCATTCATTCATTCATGGAGCTGCTTTATTTAGAATTCAAAGACGGCTTCGACAGCTGACAGGAAGCTTAGGCCTAATAGGAAGCCCGTAATAGCCCTAAGTCCTAGTAGGAATCCTGTAATAGGAACCTCTGAATAGGAGCCCTTAGCCCTAATCCCAAATAGGGATCTTGTAATAGGAACCTCTTAATGGGAGCCCTTAACCCTAAGCCCTAATGGGAATTCTGTAATAGGAACCTCTTAATACGAACCCGGATAGGATTCCCCCTTAAAGGAAACGCTTCATAGGAGCCCCTGCAGAGGAACCGCTTTTGCAATAGGAGCCCGAATGGAAAGCCGTTGTAGGCCCGTTTAGTGACCGTGAACGACCCCAAATACATCCTGAGTCCCAGACTTCCCGGACCTAAGCCCTAAACATCCAAAATCCGAATGCAAAACCTGAACCTGCAAGAAACCCAGTGACTAAGCCTTAAAGCTCAAGCGTCAAAGCCTGAAGCCCCCCCAAACATCCCAACTTCTACCCTACACCCTAAGAAACCATCAACTACCGGTGCCTCACCCCACTCAGCTCTTAGGAGCTGCCCAGCCTTCACAGGAAGGTGCGGGGGCTGTAGGAGTCGAGGCTAGGGGGACCAGGCACAGGCTTCAGGGGAAAGTCGGGCTTAGGGGTTTTAGGGGCCTTTAGGGAGGTCGAGGGGCCTTTAGGATTTAGGGTTTAGGGCTCTTTAGGGTTTAGGGGCCTTCAGGATTTAGGGTTTGGGGGCCTTTAGGATTTAGGGTTTAGGGTTCTTTAGTGTTTAGGGGCCTTTAGGGTTTAGGGTTCACGGCCTGTCAGGTTTAGGGGTTAGGGGTCCGCAAGGGTGGGAGTTCAGGGCTCCATTTGTGAGCTAAAGTTTGGTGCTTCGGGGGCTACAAGAGAAATGAGTCCGGCAAAGAGCAACGAGTTTCATTTACCCTAAACCCAAAAACTGCAAAAGGGCGCAGCTTTTATGGGCTTTGGTATCTCTGATCCTGGGTCTCAGGCCTCAGGTGAGAGCTTCTGCTTGAGATTTGGAGCTTCGAGGGTGACAGTATCTTTGACGTTCATAAGATTTCTGAGGCGGCTGTCCTGTGGCTTGAGGTTTCTGTAAAACGGCTGTTAACACCAAGTCCAACGACTCAATCCAAACATCGTCGGTTGGCTGTCGATGGAACACTTCCACAAAGCAACAGCTCAGTGAGGCTGATGCTAGACTCCATGGGCCCTTGTGGTGTACTTTCCCATGCGCACAAAGAAGTCAAAACGAAGTCTTGTTCTTATCTGTTTTTGCGGCTTCTGCAAGATTTGGTGAATGGTCCAATGTAGGGGCCTTAATAATTAGAATAGGGTTTTGGGGCTCACTATACTATACTTATAATAAGGAACCCCAAAATATTATCGGTAATTGTTAAGGCCCCTATAGTACATATTTGACACAGTTCCGTGCTGATGTTATCTTGCTTTCTGTTGGTGTTGCTGACATGTTCGACCCTTGCTGATTTATCACCGAACCCCACACGAGGTTCTGTAGATAATCAAGGGAAATCTTGTTCCCATTCGTCAGCCCCCCTAAGAAGACCCCACTGGAAAGGGAGCAAGGGTACTACCACTGTCGAAACTGGCCTTGCTTTCGACCACTGAGAGGTTGCTGGACTCTTGCACGCTTGCTCTGGCCCTCCACTTCACCTGCACTCTGCACGCAAGGCTACACAAGAGAGCCCTGACTCTACAGAGCACATCGGTGGGTAGCTCATGAGCCAAAAGCCCTGTAGATCCTCTGAACGACTTCTGCAGCCGGGCTCTCAACGAACCCTAAACCATAAACCCTTTTTGCATCAGGACTCGTGTATAGTTATCGAAATCTGCACGAGCACGAAGGGTCAGCTCTCAAGAAAACCCTAAATCCTGAACCCTGTAACCCCAGCTTGGAATCTGGCCCCGCCCTTCCTGCAGGCAAGTACAGTCCGAAGCAGAAGTTAGTGCACTGTCATGCGCAAAGTCCGAATCTTGTGCACAGGAAGGTCAGTTGGAGGCGCTTTGTGGAAATATACAGCACCTTGCAGGCTAGCTATCCGTAACGATTGTGGTACTAGTTCTGTGAGACTCAAGCTATGAGAAAAGCCTCCCAACCCCCCTGTTCTGGTCGTGATACACATTATACACTAAGCCCTAAACCCGTAAACTCTGAACTCATCCCCCGCCTCAAGGTGGGAAGGCCCCTGGAAGTCGAAGGTGACCTTTCCGTCTTTGTCTTCGAAGGCTTCTTGGATTCCCCGCAACCTACACTAGATGCAACTGTGCAATCTAGTCAGTGGCCTTCATCTCTTTCCTTCATGAGGTGCAGAGATGACAACTTTTTGTATTGAGATGCGTTTGAGGTTGAGGGTCCAGTGCCACAGGTCACATGAACGTCATGTGCAGACTTCCTAGTAAACACAATATCTGCCAGCCGACGCGGGCGCCATCGAGACCCCTCCCTCTGCCGAATGCCTGAAACAACAAAACAAAAAATGCACAGCCCGGAATAGGTGCAGGGAATAGGTGTTAGGATCTGTAGGGTTTAGGGCTCAAGGCTTTAACAGCATCAATTTTCGACATACTGGCTTTCAACAAACCAGGGCAACACACAATTTCCACAACACTTCCAACTTTATTCGTCTGGATACGTTGAAGGGAATAAGCGAACCTCTGGACCTCATTCGTCTCATAGTTCTTGATGTTGGGCTGTAACTAGAGCGACCTAAGCATGCAACCCCACTGTACACCTCGTCGCTTCAATGCAAGGCCTGATGGGCCTGATACCGAAACACTGCACCCTCTGGGACTGCCGCATCCTCGACGACGGCACCTGATGCGCACAGTGCTACAGTAGCTTGCTTATATGAGTTTGAGTGGATCCTATGAGTGTTAGGGCCGTTAAAGGTTTCGTTTCGTTGAGGCCCCTTGCAAGAGTGCAACCGGGCCACGGCAACAGCAAGCATGACCATGCCCTGTGAGAGGCAGTAGGACAAAAACGTACGGATTGCTGGGCTGGTGGTGCAGACGAGGCGTAGACGCCAGAGTTGGCAAATGCGCACCTCCTCCAAAAAGCTATCCTCCTCCAACCGTGCCCCAAGCCTAAACTGCGAAACCAGAGTGATTGTCCCGGAATGATGAACACTGGGGCCTGCCCAGCATATGGCTTCTTGGGGTAGATCAAAGTATATACTTATATAGGGACTATGCCGGGATATACTGAGACTCTATGCCTGACTATTCTTAAGGCCACATAGAACCCTACAAACGTCTGAGAAAAAGACCGATATGGCGGGCTACTGCGACAGTGTGTCGTGGCCCACTACCAAATCCCCCATGTAGCCCTCGTACAGGCTCTGACTCCTTTCTCAGACCCCCTGAGTTTGTTACCCTTCTTCAAGCTTGCTAGGAGGCCACCAGCACCTTCACCAGATGTGGTGTCGATTTCCATGCCAGCCCGGAGCCTCGAATTGAGGAGCGTGTAAAACGGCACAAAGGGTTCCTGTAAGGTTTCGTGAATACTTGAAGTGGGGTGGGTTCCTGTCAGGACCGTTGGACCGTTGAGTGATGGAGTAATGATTTTAGCAAGTGTGGCGGGATATTGTATCATGGGTCACAAAGGAATCCTCAGCAACATTATAATCTAGACTCCTCGTATTTCATGGAGGCGGGGCTTTGGGATTTGCTGGGAGGTGCTCGCAGGAAGGAAAAACCGAGCATGCTTGGATTACAGGACAGTGTATGGTTCAGATGCTAGAGCAAAAAGCCCTGCACCTTCCGCTCCAAAGATCTCCTAAAAACCCCAAGCCCCAAACCCAAAGATTCCCAAAGCAACACCCTAAACCCTAAACCCAAAGATGCCCAAAGCAAAACGCCAAACCCTAAACCCAAAGATCCCCAAAGCAAAACCCCAAACCCTAAACCCAAAGATCCCCCAAGCAAAACCCTAAACCCAAAGATCCCCTAAACCCTAAACCTCGAAACAATACCCTAAACCCCAAACCCAAAGATCCCCAAAACAATACCCTAAACCCTAAACCCAAAGATCCCCAAAAACCTAAACCCTGAACCTAAAAATCCCCAAAACCCTAAACCCTAAACCCAAAGATCCCCAACAACCAACCCCCCCAAAAAAAAAATCGCCCCAAGAAGGGCCCGGTGTGCCTTCGCCAGGGCGCGCCGGCGGAGAGGAGTTCTGCCTCGGTCTCCTTGGGATACGGCTACAGTCGGTTTCGGGGTTTGGGGTTTAGGGTTTGGAGGGTTTAGGGTGTAGGGCTTAGGGTTTGGGGTTTAAAGGGTTTAGAGGGTTGAGGGTTTAGG